TTGGTGGTGTTTGGACACAAACAATTGAATCAACAAGGCTACAAAGTCCAAAAAGGACATTTGAATTTACTGATTTTCCATGGCCTAAAAGTGTTAGAGGAAGGTATCCTCATAACAAAGAAGTTTTGAAGTATGTTGAAGATTATGCAAAACATTTTGGGTTAATGGGATATATTCAATTGAATACTAAAGTTATTGGGATTAATTATGTTGGAGTTTGTGGTGATGATATGGATTCTTGGGAGTTTTGGAGTGGAAATGGGAATGCATTTGGCTCTGAGGGGAAATGGCAAATCTTGGTGCAACATGAGGACTTCACCACTCAGGTACGATCAGATTTACTGTTTACTTTTTTGTAATTGGTGTACATAAATTATTATATAATATTAATTTACATGGTTATATATATTATGCATATATTATATATATGTTAGTTATTTTTAATATAATATAAGGATTTCACCATTCAGATATGATCAGATTCGCTATTTACTTTTTCCGTAATTGGTGTAAATAGATTGTTATATAATAATTTAGTACAACATAAAGACTTCACCATTCAGGTATGATCAGATTCAATGTATATTTTTTTCTAATTGATATACAAAGGTTATTATAGTTGTCACCATTCCCATCACCTAGCACCATTTATAACCACACTAAGGTAAGTTTATCATTACCTCTACTTACTTTCACAATCATCGTCACAATCAACCAACATTACCATCAATTACAACCTCAACCAACACACACAACCATTACGATCAGTCATTACCATCATGAAAACCATACAAAAAATATTTTTCTAACAACTTTAATATTTATAAGTGTATTATATGGTATAGAATATTAATGAACAAGAGCTTTAACACATTTGATCTGTTGTTACTGTCAGTATATAAAAGTTAAAACTTTTATTCTGTTGTATTCGTTTCAGGAATATGAAGTCGAGTTTTTGATTCTATGCATCGGAAGGTATAGTGGTTTAGCAAATATGCCGGAGTTTCCTCTTGGTGAAGGACCGGACATTTTCGCCGGAAAAGTGATACATTCTATGGATTTCTCAGCCATGGACAATGAAAGTGCTAGAGAACTTATTAAAGGGAAGAGAGTTGCGGTTATTGGTTCTCAAAAATCAGCAATAGATATCGCGGCTGAATGCGCGAATATTAATGGTAAGAAATAACGTAACTTTATTTGATGATAACATTTAAGTTATGTATACTGATAATATGCATATTTTTTTAATGTGGTTGTATGTTTTATGACTTAGGTCCTGAAATTCCTTGTACATTGGTACAAAGAACAATACCATGGGCACTCCCTAGTGGATGCTTTTGGTGGGGAGCTACTCTTGGAAATTTATATGGTAGTCGATTTTCAGAGCTCTTGGTTCATAAGCCTGGCCAAAACATTATATATAGTGTGGTGGCCTCTCTACTTGCTCCTATGGTAAAGTTTCTCGAAATCCATTATATTGAAGAAAAAAAAAATATTACATTTCTATTTTATTTTATGTGTCTTAATTTGATTTCATCAAAAAAATTAAAAAGTAAATTATTATTTTTTACATGATATGATGTATCTTAAACTAAAGATATTTATAATGTTTCAAAATGACTTTATTGAATTGTGTGGTGTTTAACCTGTCATATAGAACACTAATTGGAATAAAAAAATGTTTTTTTTTCTCAATTTATGTATATATTTTTCTTTTTAGTATTTACCCAAAAAATTGACATTTTCTTATATATTTTTTAAAAAAATTGAATGTAAACTTCTCATTTTATCTTCATTGAAATTTTTACAGTTACACAAATATCTATGAATTTTATTAAATACAAGTGTTTTTTCTTTAAATAGCTTTCTTCCTTAAATTCCTAGCCTAGTCAAAGGGTTAATACTTATCCAAACATAGTGTTTACTCCAAATCAATGAAATTTTACTATGGTTAAGTTATTAATCAATAACAATTGTGTATATTTGAACATATGTGTCATGCATTCATTAGTTTAATGTGTAGACATACATCAGGCGTTTCACATAAATTGAAACAACAGAAGTAATTATTCATTTGTATGATACTATTTGCTTTATTAATTGAACAATATATTATTTATTTCAGAGATGGGGTTTCTCAAAATTTGTGGAGAGTTATATTGCATGGAAGTTACCATTGAAGAAATACAACATGGTACCAAAACAAAGTTTTCTTCAAGACATGTCTTCTTGCAAGTCCTTTTTATTGCCTGATAATTTCTATGGAAAAGTTGAAGAAGGAAGCATTGTTCTAAAGAAAATACAACATTTTTCTTTCATCAAACAAGGGTTAATTCTTGATGAAGAAGTTGATAAGCCAATAAAAGCTGACCTTGTTATCTTTGCTACTGGATATAAAGGTCAAGAAAAATTGAAGAATATGTTTTCCTCAAAAAAGTTTCAAAATCACATAGTAGGATCACCAAACTCAGTTATTCCTCTTTACAGGTACACATTACTTCTAGTACTATCTCTTGTCTTTTCGTAGATGTTCACTTGTATCACATGCATGAATGCTTTCTGAATCGTGTAATAAGGTCTAGAGTAGTTTAATAAGTTACTAGCTTAGTGTTATTGAAAAAAAAAAACATATACACACTCCCACAAGGAGAAAGTATAATAAAGTTAAAAAATTCTAATTTTACCCCTACATTATGGAAATGTTTAAAAATTATAAAATTACCCTTAGTTATGTTTTAAAATTGTAAAATTACCCCTTGTTGTTGTAGCCCTAGTTATACTTTGGGGCTATTGATAATTTTTTGTTATCGTTATTTTCTTTTCAGTCATTGCTTTGATTTCACTTCTTTTGAGCCGATGGTCACAACCTGATCTCTATCCTCTCTAAAACCCACTCATATAATTACATTGAATATGTTATTGTAGTAATAGTAATAAGATCCATGTTCATGATATATATAATTTCCCTTTCTTTTTTTTCTTTTTGCAAAATCTTGGCATTTATGTTAATCTTCGCGTAGTAGTTCATTCTTCAATTTCCAATACTATTTGTTGTTTCTTTTGTTTGTTCACATCTTGTTATTTAAGTTGAGCCTAAGGTTCACGTACATCTTATCCTCTCCAGAGAGACTCCACTTGTAGAATAACACTGAATATGTTTGACAGGCACATAATACATCCAAGAATACCAAACCTAGCAATAATTGGATACTCAGGGAGCATAACAAATCTCCACACATCTGAGATGAGGTGTCAATGGTTAGCACATTTTCTTGATCAAACATTCAAGTTGCCAAGCATAAAAGAGATGGAAAATGAGATACAAAAGTGGGAAGATTACATGAAAACATATGGTGGAAAAGAGTATAAAAGGAGTTGTATTGCAGCACTACACATATGGTACAATGATCAATTGTGCAAAGACATTGGGTGCAAAAATAGAAGAAAGAAGAGTTTCTATGAAGAATGGTTTCAACCATACTTGCAATCAGATTATGTTAGGTTAAGTCCTAATAATTAGTCCCACTAAGTATTTCATATATTTTGTTGCACCTAAAAGTTATTTTTCGGATTTTTTTTTTAGAGTAAGTCGTTTTTTATTTAAATATTTTTCATCAAATGGGGAGACAAAATGACTTTCCTCAATTGTGGGATGAAGTTATACCTATATATCTTTGACTTTCCTTAGTTCTCTATTAAGTCTTTTGGATATTTTGTTGAGATAGAAGTTATTTTTTGAGATTTTTTTTTTAATATAGGAAGAAGTGTTTGGATTGATTTTTTAAAAGTGATTTATAAGCTAAAAGTTAAAAGTTCTAAGTTGGTTTTACTATTAAGTATTTTGGAAATTTTATTACGATAAAAGTCATTTTTTGATGTAAATAAGTTTTTGTTGTTTGTCTAAAAATATTTTTCATCGGATGGAAAACTAACTTTCTTCATTTGTGGGCATAAGCTAAAACTATAGATCTTTGGTTTTCCGTCCTATTAAGTATTTTGTATATTTTTAGTGCGGTAAAAGTCATTTTTTGAAATAATAAATCATTTTCTGTTGTTTGAATGTCTGAAAATATTTTTGATCATCAGAGGAAAAATGACTTTCCTTAGTTGTGGACTGAATGTTACAACAATATATCTTAGACAATAGGAATTTATTTTTGAGGTATGATGTGTTATTTTATCCTTAATTATACGTTTTGAGATCAATTTCCTTTATTAAACGTCACTTTATCTTTTAATGGATCAATTCAATGTCAATCTAAAAAATCAATAATGAATTTGAGTAATGAGGTTTAAGAAATTAAAAGTTAATAGGTTTAAAAAAGAGAGAAAATGGTCAAAAGCCCTCCTAACTTATTGTTAGATTTTTAACTAGACACTCATATAACATTTAAAAGTGAAATATACAACCCCTAAAACGTCATAATCAGACATATGTCTGTAGTGAAATACACCCACTTAACATATGTATTTAACTAGTTAACTATTATTTTTTTCAGATTTTTTTTCTCCTTCATCTTCTTCCTTTCTTCTTTAACCATTTTTTCAATCCTAATTTCTTAAAGATTGATTTGGAGAAAATATGGGCAACAACAACGATGGCGATGGTTGTTTAAGGTTGGTGAATGGTGGTTTAAAAATAAACTTTTAGTAATATTTGTTTTTGCTACTCACTCTCTCAAGAAGAGTGAAATACATTCACTTTGCAAGATAAACAATTAAGAAGGTAATAATTTTATTTTTAAATATTTCAGGAAATGATAGAACCCAGTAAAGTATGAATATATGGTTGAGAATCCAACATATGCATCAAATTGACTAATAACATAACTATCCCTCAATTCCTGAGATTTTCAATTATATAAGGAGTATAATACATTAAACTAAAACAGGACATAAAAATAATCTTAACACATTCTATCCAACATTATTTTTATACACGTTAGCAAATGATGTTTCCAATACCTTTGGCAAAAGACCCTCTAGAGTAAAACTAAAATAAACATGGCGTGGCCAATATTGATCCTCAAACAAAAGAGCTAACTTTGGTGACGACAAAAATGAATCAAAATCACAAAAAAATTCCTCCTTTTCTTCTCTCCATTGTGAAAACACCCATATATGTAGGCTTGTTTATGTATCTCTACACTCACAGAGAATCAAATCGGAAGGGGAAAAGACAAGAAAGCCCTCATCAGTTTTAGCTGAAGTTCATCAATGGCTGCTGCTACTGCTTCTGCTTCAGTTTCTTTGAATCATCATCGTTCTGTGGTTCCAAAACATCATGGGGTTTCTTTGAATTCAAGAATTGGTGTTCCTACAAGGTTTTCCTCAAATGGGTACACTTCAAGAATCAGGGCTACCTCTGCTGTTGCTGTAGAACCGGTAATTTTTGGAATTGTGAAAGTTTGAACCTTTTTGTGTTTTTCACCGTAGTGATTTCTGATGTTCTTGTGACCCAAAAATTGGAATTTGAGAATTTATCAGTATAAGTCTCTTTTTGAGCAGCACATATTCTATTGGTGTCCGGGTCAGCTTTTTCGCATCTCCACTAATTCCACAGAATATCTGACACCTCCATTAGTAATAGGTAGCACGTAATTCTATCCACCAAGGTTAGAACACATGGAAGAAATCATCTAGTGTTTTTTTCTCCGATGGGATTTGATTGTGAGACCACGATAGATTGATGATGTACTGAATGATTTTCGGCTATTGCTGCTACATTGATGTAATTATTAGCTAATCATAACCATATTTTCAATTTGGGAGCTAAGTTTTTATGATGAGTGTGTTGACTCCAATTGGATGCTGGGTAATGTTAGACTGTGATGTGTATCAGTGTATGAATGATAAAATTGAAATATTTATCTTGTTTTATGGCTCAACTCTTATTAAATCAAGAAAGCTGGTCATAGCTATATTTCTTCGTTGATGTATCGGATCATGATCAAGTGTTACAATCAATGAGTGTTTTGCCGAATAATTGCCTTTCTTCATTCTCGCCTTTGTTGTTCCGTTAAAAGTTTAAAACTTAGGTGATGCATTACCTTTTGTTTTCAGTTTATGTATAGTTTTCACTCCTGTCTTGTTCAGGAATTGAGAACTCCAGCTCAGGATGCTACGAAAGCTGAATTGTTTGCTTGCCCAATTTGTTATGAACCTCTTATAAGAAAAGGGCCTTCAGGATTTAATGTGTAAGTTTAGTTTTTCAGATAGAAAATAACAGTGACTCAAGGTGTGGCGTTATTGTTGTTTGACTTTGAATTTAAAACTTGCAGACCTGCAATCTACAGATCAGGCTTCAAATGCAGAAAATGTAACAAATCATATTCAAGCAAAGATGTCTACCTTGATCTCACTGTTACTTCTGGAACAAAACAATACAATGAAGTTAAACCAGCTCGGAGTGAACTATTCAGGTATTAGCAATGTTTCAACATTCATGTCATTGCTTGACTAAATTAAGCATTTCTTCTTTTTTCCTGTAAGTATCTCTCCAAATAAAGTGCTGAAAATTATCTTGATCTGTTTTTGAGCTGTTTTTTTCGCCTGGCTTCCGTTTTCGTTGGACTCCTGATGCATCAAGTAAAAGCTTGTAATAAAAGATTTTTAGGCATCATCTAACTTTTTTTTTATTTTTTTATTTTCCAAATGTTTATTTCTAATATCTGCTGCTCTTACCCTTTTGTAGGAGTCCAATTGTTTCATTCTTGTATGAGAGAGGCTGGCGTCAAAATTTTAACCTAAGTGGTTTTCCTGGTCCTGATGAAGAGGTAAAAAAAAATTTATTGCTCAGATTAGATGTATCTTAGTAGCCTTATGGGTTGGATAACTAAATATTAATCGAAAAGTAACTATGTTCTTTCATCTTCCTACATATATAGTAGTTGTTACTTACCTATTAACTTTCCATGTTGGAGAAAATTTAGGCATGAGAGGTTTAAGGTGTTTGCCACTTAATGAATGCCTCTTCTCTCAAAGGATTATGTAATATCTATAGACAAAAGCTTTAGAGTTTTTATTTTTACATCTTTCGTCTCCAATTAGTTTGACTAATTTAGAGATCAAGAAAATGTAGCTATAGTATGGCACTTATAGCGTAAAAACTTGAAAGTAATTGTGCAAAATTGTGAAACTCGAATTAGTATTCGAATAGTTTTTGAATTTTTTTCCCCAGTACCTTGATCTAGTGGCAAGAATGCAACGCGCCAACGTACTCTGCATCTCTGCCGCAGACTAAAGCATATGGTGTAAGGTCACCAAGCATATGGTGATTTCTTGAACGGTGAAGGAGAATATCATAGACACATTTTCACACTGATAAAAATAAAATTATGGTTCCTTCCTAATGTATAAACTAACTGAAAACCGCTTTCCATAACCAAATCTGACCACCTAATATGTCAATATATGATAATTGAAGAATTTGTTCATGGATTCAAAATATGATAACTCAATTGATTTCATTACATGGAGAACCTCCTTGACTATATAACAATAACATTAAGGAAAAGAGTGAAACTTATAATTTATCTTGTATAGTCCAGTGATGGCTCACGGCTGCGTGATTGTCCTTTTGATATTAAATGCAGTTTAAGATGGCTCAAGAGTACTTTAAAGTTGCCGAAGGTGGTGTTCTTGTTGACGTTAGCTGCGGTAGTGGATTGTTTTCCAGGAAATTTGCCATATCTGGGGCCTATTCAAGAGTCGTTGCACTTGACTTTTCTGAAAACATGCTTCGCCAATGTTATGATTTCATCAAGAATGACGAGAGTATCATAAGCTCGTAAGTGGTTTTCTGTCTAATATAAGATATCAAGTCATTGAAATCTCAATTGTCGGAAATTGTCTTTTTAGACGAGAAAAAATTGAATTTCTCTTTCTATATAAATTTGCAGCAATCTAGCTCTTGTAAGGGCAGATGTTTCCAGATTACCTTTTCCCTCTGGATCTATTGATGCTGTGCATGCAGGTGCGGCCTTGCATTGTTGGCCATCTCCGTCCAATGCAGTAAGTTTTTCAAATTTTGATCTTTTCTGGGCATTCGTTATAACTACATTTCACTATAACGGCTTGATTTTCTCTAGAGATTCTCTGGATCAAACACTTAACCCTACACTAACATTTACGTCTCTAACCATACTATGAGGACTCACGTAAACATGAGACTTAGTATAAGTGTAACCAAAAACCTAGTCTTAATCCCAACTAGTTCGTATTGGCATGTAAGGATCCCTTGCTTTTATTATGTTCTGTTACTTAATTCTACATTGATTTCAATAGCTTGTCGATCCTTGTATTTGTAATATTGATGCAATGAGTCTTACCGGAACAGTTTTCCCAACTTGCGATTCGACTTTACGGTGACTTATCCATGTAAATTGGGAGATAATTGTAGATCTATATCAGTGGAAGCTGCAACACAGATGACCCTTTATCTTCTGAATGAACAAATTTACCGTAATTATTCTCATGTGCTCAATTTACTCTGCATGAACAAACTTTGCCATTTTCTGATACATAATAACCACGGAGTTTCTTCTTTTTCTTCACACCAGTTTAACACTTAACGACATATCTATCAACAATTCCATTATTTAATATCATCAAGTGCAAATAGTACAACTGATTCTGGGCCTAGAAAGTACTATTTTAGGATACCAACTCTGAGCCCCTAAGAATCTGATAAGGAAACTTTTGGTAGAAATATGAGCTCATTTTAAGGGAAGAAAATGGAAGTTGATAAATATTTGCGGTTGAAATTTAACCTTCACAAGTTGGGGGTAAAGTCTGCGTACATACCACCCTTCCCGAACTCCACTTGTGGGATTACACTAGGTATGTTGTTGCTGATGTTTAATTTGGATTGCTGCCGCATAGTTTTATTTGAACTCGTTGCTGCTAGCTAAAGTTTAACGATTTATGGCACTCTCAAGTTCAATGAATGAAGTTGAGTTTACAATTGATTATGCTGTTATTTGTTTGCCAGATTGCTGAAATTAACCGGATTTTGCGTAGTGGAGGTGTATTCGTTGGTACTACATTTCTTCGAGTCAATCCTTCAGCTCCTACGATATTCAGGGCCTTGGAGCAGGTAAATTTAATTTTCCATCTCATGATTATACACTATACTTCAAAATTTAGAGTCTAATTTTCTCCATTTTAGCATCACATGAACTTGATCGATTGTAGTGGTAAAAGATTCGGTTACCACCAAAACATGAGAAAACATAAAATTCTTGGACATGAACTGAAGAACGCCAATATAGTCATATGAGGACATCGGAAAAAAGGCTCGTATCTGATAGATAGATAATCGTTTCTGTAAAAATAGATATGAAAGTAGACTTCCTTTTTGATCTCAGAGTGCTCTACGGACGTACAGCTATTTTACTCAAGAGGAGATTGAAGACTTGGTGACAAGCTGTGGTCTCATCAACTATACCAGTAAAGTTCAGAGCTCTTTTATCATGTTTTCCGCACAAAAACAATGATCGTTTGGCTGGTATAAACGCGTTATTTTTCCTGTTTTGGTATATGTTTGCACTCGTTTCGCTGTGCAATCTATCTCAACCCTGTAAAAAATAGTATATACAGTACATAAAAGTTGATTCAGTCTGTTAAAGAACATTCTTTCTTGTGAATAATTTACACTGCTGGTGTAACTAGACACTATAGTGTAGCACATCAGCACATGTAATAATCCTTGGACTTGAGTTATTTCGAGATTATAATTCTTTGGACTAATTTATCTGAACCGAGAGGTGGGATAAAATAACACCAAGCTTGATGAGATAAGGTGGGATATTATCCCACGAACCAAACGACCCCTTTGTACTTCCCCTTGACTGGCTGAATTCAGTTTCTTTATTCAGACAGTACATTTGGATCAGTATTTTAAAAGGCAGGGGCGTGAGGCGAGACGAGGCGCTATACTTAGTACAAAGCAAGGTGTAAGCCCCGAGTCATGATGTGTAAGTCCTAGAAAAAAAAAAACCTTCAAACATGGTTATACAAGTATAAATAAGGCGATGATATCAAAGTTATTAATGGATACAAATAGAATTACAATTTCTTAAAATAGTTTACTTTCATACTATGTAATTCGCCTTACTATAAAGAAAATAATCAAAAAAAATTATTAGTATTATAATTAAAACATCACTCCTTCGTAAATAAAAAAGGCATAATACATAAATGTGTCTTTTAACTTGGTCTCGTTTTACATTTATGTCCTTTAACTTTGGATGTGCATAAGTAGATACTTAAACTTGTATAAAGTAGACATATGAGTCCTATGTGGCATAATACGCGTAAGATGCCACGTAGGATGCAAATTACCATGTAGGATGTCAGGTAGGACGTGTGTATTTATTTGTTCAACCGTATACCAGTTTAAATGTCTACTTGTGCAAGCTCAAAGTTCAAGGACATAAATGTGAAATGAGGCCAAATTAAAGGGCAAATTTTTGTATTATGCCAAAATAAAAAAATAAAATTACTTTCAAATAGAGAAATAATAAAATATGATAATTTTGAGATAGAGAACAAAAATCTGAACAACAATGATAAGTGAAGATGCAAAATTTGATTATGTATTACGAAAAAACTTTTAAGCATCATTCATTTATTAGAGAATTACGTAGGTCAACAATATAACTAGGGAATTTGGTACATAATTAGCCTAAGAACTTTTAGTCGAGCCTCGAGCATTGGATGTTAGGCGTGTTTAGAAAGTACAGTCGGTCCTCAAACGTTAGGCTTGTTTAGAAGTACAGTCAGTCACTTAAAATGTAAGCCTCACAAAATTAAGCCCAACACGTGACATAACACAAATCAATTTGAGTGTATTTCACGTGAATTGTCACGTAAGACATATATATCTACGTGTTTAACTTTTTATAAATTTAAGTATTTATTTATGCACACAAAAATAAAAAAACATAAATATCATCTAAAGCTAAATTAAAAAGCGTGTTTTAAATTTTTAATGCTGAAAATTATGATCCTAGCTCACACATCCAAATACAAAAATGAAAGAAAAAGGGTTGATGGATGAAGAAGAAAAATGAGTTTTAAAGGAATTAAGTACTAGAAAGTAACAAAAATATTAGTAATAGACAATCAACTAATTAGCTCATTATAGTAGGTGATATACATGTCATGTGATAATGAAATTTATGATTAAATTTAGTTGTCACACCCCAATTAATGATTTTTCTATATTTAGAATTAGAACTCCAACTCAAACTCGAAATTTGGGATTAAGATATAGTAGTCTCATTCATTCTTGTACTATTCCAGTCCGATTTTAATTGTCATAATTTTATTTTTTTTAGAGTCAGACGATAATAATTTTGACTAACATTTTACGATATATTTTTTCATCATATTGATATACAAAAAATTGAAATTAATAATACTTTTCTTATAGTTTTTAAATATTTTGTTTAAAATATCGAATTAATATAATTTAATTTAACTTTAAAAATCAATCTAATTGACTTTTATCGAGGGAATACTTGTTTTCAAACATTTTGATTATACACATAAACAACATCAACCACCAAAAATAGAAATAACTAAACTAACAAAAAGCTACTTCTAAAGATGACAAAATTGATTCAAAATCACAAAAAGAATTCCTGTTTTTCTTCTCTCCATTCATACTCACAGAGAATCAAATCGAAAGGGAAAAAGACAAGAAAAGCCTCATCAGTTTTAGCTGAAGTTCATCAATGGCAACTGCTACTTTTGCTGCTTCTCCTTCACTTTCCTTGAATCATCATCGTTCTTTGGTTCCAATACAACGTGGGGTTTCTTTGAATTCAAAAATTCGTGTTCCTACAAGGTTTTCCTCAAATGGGTTCACTTCAAGAATCAGGGCTACCTCTGCTGTTGCTGTAGAACCGGTAATTTTTGGAATTGGGGAAAGTTTGCTACCTTTTTTTTTTTTTCTTTTTCTGTCTTCTGTTGTTTTCGTTCGTTTTGGTAAAAGTGAGAAAAACCCCAAAAACATTGGAACTTGAATTTATCAGTATGAGTATCTTTTTGAACATCAGATGTTCTATAGTGTTTGTTAGTTTTGTGGGGTTCTTGTTTAATTTTGAGATAATGGTCAAAAATCACTTTTTCCCGAGTTTCATATTTCAACTGATCAGCTGCCTTGTTCCATTTTCCTACCTGATGTATCAGCATGTTATGTATTAAACATACTTAGTTGAGTAGATGGCGATAGTACAGGTAGAAAAAAAGAACAATTGATAGTTGGTCTAATCAACTTTGAGGTGTGTTATACATAGACGGAGTTGGTTTAGGTAGAAAATGAGAGTAACTGATAGTTGGGGTGTGAAACTCGTGAAGAAGTGATAGTTCAGGTGTGTTTATGACCATCAAGTCTTTAATTTTTGGGTTTACTGTTTTACTTAAGCTGTCGGGACCATAGACTGATGATGTATGGAATGTTTTTGGCTTATCGCTGCTACATTCATGCAACTGTTAGCTTATTGTAACAACAGCATATCCGATGTAAAATCTCACAAGTGGGGTCTGGGGAGGGAAGAGTCTAGAGTGTATGCAAACCTTGCCCCTACCTTGGAGGGTAGAGAGGTTGCTTTATGATAGATTCTCGGCTCATCTTTGCTAATTGTAAATATAATTTAAATTTGGGAGCTAAGTTTTTATGATGAGGGTGTTGAATCCAATTGGATGCAGGGTAATGACTCAACTCTAATTAAGTCAAGAAAGTTGTTCATAGCTATATTTCTTTGATTTTCCACGTTGATGCATAGGATCGTGTTCAAATGTCACATTGATGTATAATCTTTTCTGCTGTCTTGTTCAGGAGTTGAGAACTCCAGCTCAGGATGTTACGGAAGCTGAATTGTTTGCTTGTCCAATTTGTTATGAACCACTAATAAGAAAAGGCCCTTCAGGCTTTAACGTGTAAGGTTTAGTCTTTCAGGTAGAACAATAACAGTGAGTCGAGGTGTGGCCTAATTGCTATTTCACTTTGAATTTAAAACTTGCAGACCTGCAATCTACAGATCGGGCTTCAAATGCAGAAAATGTAACAAGTCATATTCAAGCAAAAATATCTACCTTGACCTCACTGTTACTTCCGGAACAAAAGAATACAATGAATCTAAGCCAACTGGGACTGAGCTATTCAGGTATCCTAGGGCTGTTTCAAGTTTCATGTTTATGTTTGATTCAGTGTTATCAAAAGCAAAAAAAACACAAAAAAAGTCTCTAAGGTCTGGTGGGGTTTTAAGCGCATACAAAGACTAGGCTTTAATTGAAAGAAAGGTGCGAAGGGAGAAAAATACAAATATAAATGTTTAGTCCAAGACTAATAACTATAAGCATGAATGACAGAATTATGAGCAAAGAAATTGATGATGAGACTGAAGTGGACATTAAGTGAGGCAAAACGCTCAAAGCGTTTTGAGCCTCGCTTCAAGGCCTAAGCGCGCCTTCGACAACACCAGCTTGATTAAATTATCTCCGATTAGTTTTTGGGCTCTGAAATTATTTTCCTAAAGATGTTGACTCTAGTTTGAAGTCAATATCTATTCATCCCTCCTCCCTCACATAAGTATTGTTTTGTTCTGGTGAACACCACACATATAAGCAAAAGTGTTTGTTTTGTTCTGTAGTTTTACTTCTTTTACATACTTAATAGCTGTCCAATTTTTAGGCATGCACCTTAGGCTGTTAGACATTTACATTTAATGCTTGAAATCTTTAGAATAACAACTGAAGTGGAAACTATGAAACGGAAACAATGCTGGAATTTTCTTCCATGTCTTTTTATGTTTTTTTCTTTCCCCTGCTTCTTTTTATTGGGTTCCTGATATATCTAGTAAAAGCTTGTAATAGAGAATTTTGAGAATTAGACTGATGTTTTCGGATTTTCGACATATTTATTTCTAATGTCTGTTGCTATTAACTTTCCAAGGAGCCCAGTTGTTTCATTCTTGTATGAAAGAGGCTGGCGTCAAAGTTTTAACCGAGGTGGTTTTCCTGGTCCTGATGAAGAGGTAAATTTTTTTATTGCTCTGATTGAATTTATCTTAATAACTTTATGGGTTGGATAACTAAACATTGACCTTCCTACATATTTCCTCGGTACCAATTTATGTGACATTCTGTCCTTTTTGGTTGGTCCTAAAAAGAAATGACACTTTGTTATATTTAGTAAAAAATTAACATAAATTTCTCATTTAACCCATAATGAGATGATTTCTAACCGCACAAAGATCTATGGCCTATTTTGGACCACAAGTTTCAATAGTCTCCTTTCATTCTTAAATTCCTTGCCCAGTCAAACACCTGTGTAAATTAGGGCAGAGTGAGTATAAAAGAGGTTGTCACAACAAAACAACAACAACAACATACCCAGTATAATTTCACTAGTGGAGTCTGGAAAGGGTAGGATGTAAGCGGACCTTATTCTTACCTTTGCGACAAAGGTAAAGAGGTTGTTTCCGATAGACCATCGGCTCGAAAGAAGTGTGCTCAATAGATAAAAGGAAAATAACGACAACAATAGATAAAAGAGTTTGTCACCTATCCATTAGTTTCTCCTTGTTGGAGTAGTATATCAGGGGCTTAATGAAACAGAACATGGCACACTTAGCTAAAATGTCATTTCAGTTCGGACATGTCAGACACGGGAGGTTTAAAGTATTGGCCACCAAATCAACTCTTATTTCTCTCATAA